CCCATGCCCAAACTTCTTTTCTAAGGAACACTGCCTCACTAAACTAAGGGCACATTTGAGAGAAATAAGGAAATTTTTGTTTGAAAAACAATTACTGTGGGAAAACTGCTGATGGAAGTACTGTGTATGTAAACGTGGTTACTTTCTTTACCTTTTTCAGTAAAAGTGCAGCAGTCCTACTAGAGTGAAAAATGCAGATCACAGTTGCCAAGGAAGTGGATGAGTCTTGGCACTGGGAATTACGACCTACACAGATACAGGATAGTGCAAAAGCACAGCTCCTGGCAGCTTGTGCAGTGGTGGTGCAGTAGGGGAAGTGCCCAAGTTAGTTTGTTCACTTTTATGAAGAACAAGAAGTACTCCTATGAAGGCCACTTACATGTATTTAAAAAATAATTAACAACATCTAATGGAGTTAGAAAACAATGGGTTTTTTTTCTCCCTGGGTAGGTGTGCCCTGAAATGCCTCTGAAATGACCAGACAGTAGCAGGAGAGCTGCGTGCGCACACCAGTGAGGTGCATTTCTTGTTTATGTGTTGCTGTCTATTTAAGTGTTGCTGCAAGAATTGCTGGCACGGAGTAATGGTCACAGGATTTGGTGTGACTGTTGTGTTTGTAAGACACTTCAGATTGCAGCTTTACTGAGCATTTTGCTTACTTTAACTAATAATTCATAGCCTACTAATACAACAGAGTATAAATAGAAAACGTAGTATCTTTATCTTCTGTATAGCCTATTATATGACTATAGTAAGTATCTAATTTGTTTTAGTGCTAATTTTAGCTATGGGTAGGATTGCAGAGTGTGATGGAGGAGACCTTCTTAATAATAATGTTAATAATACTTCGAGTTTAAAAGGAAGGATTAACGCATCCAAAATCTACCTTCTGGGACAAACCAGGTTGGAGAGAAATGCTTGAGACAGTATTTAATATCTTGCCTAACTTTATAGTGTTATATACTGATCATGTATTTCTGACTGGCTTCATTATCATTTTCTTTCCTAAATTGCAGTCCTTCACTTAGAATTATTTTCTTGGTTGTATTATGGTATAGATGTCCAAGTTCAATGTCAGCACAATTTGTAGTGGTTTGGTTTCTTTTACGGGTAGCTACAGTACTTTCCTCTTGAGTCCTCAATTTAAAAGAAGATTGATGATAGTGTGGCTTATTCATTGCATCACCTGATGAACGGACAGCTGATATCTCAGGGAAAGAAGTCCACAGTCTCTTTTCCTTAAAGTATACAGTCTAGATAGGATAGGGCTGTGGATCAAGATGTAGAGGTCTTGGGAGTAATTTGAAGGCTTTTGGACTTGCAGGTAAAAATTGAAACTGTGAAAACTTAAGTGTGGATGCAGGTGTGGGACCACGACAGCTTCTGCCAGGTCTGGTCCATTTGGAGTAGTTCATGTAAGGAGGCCTCCATTCCTGTTGGTTGAGAATCCAGGTTGAGTATCCACGAGGAGAGGCCAGAAAAGTTGTTGAGCCACTCAAGATGACCACTGGGATAGGAAATTTTGCTGTAGATGTTTTCCTTGATTATACATAATGTCTCTCAGTTTTGTGCTCTGTCATTTCTGCCTTTACTCTGAGCATCTCAGTAATGGCTGTCATACTTCTTACCAAACAATTACCTGGCTAAGTGATAGTGGAGAGAGATTAGGGCTTAGCAAAAAGTTGAAGCTCATGTCAGTAATAGAGATATTAAGCAGAAGACTCTATTGTTTGCTTACTTTTACTATCTGAAAAATATCTCTATAATATTTATTTCTTCTCCAATATTAGAAGTTTCTGCAAAAGAAAAATACACTGAACATTGTGGACCATGTGCCATAATTACAATTACAATTTTTAACTGTTAGAGCTGCAAATTGAAAAATAATGTGGTTCCTTTTTTGAATCTTCACCCTTTAACCTTGCTGAAAGAGCATAATTTTGATGCATGAAGTTGCTATTTATTGTTCAGTCATTCAGAGTGATGTTGTATTCTTGCCTATATTGTTCTACTTAATAGATAGTGATTTAGCAGTCAGCGTTCAGCCACGTGAAAATAGCCCTGGTGATAAAACTGGATAATGCCCTTAGTTAACTTTGTTTGTTTTAACTTTGGAAGAGGAAGCATGCATTAGTAATAACCTGTTGAAATTCTCTTGTAAACAAGAAGTGCATCTTTACTTCAGGACTGGTTCTAAAGTTGTATGATGGTTTAAAAATTTTTTTTTATTATTCTCTTTTCCTAGTTGCCTGCTAGGAAAATTGGTTACTACATTAGAAGAGGTGTATTTTGTACAAGAACAAAGTTAGAATGTCCAGCTTCACCATTTGTTGTAATGTTGGTGTTCAGAGCACTGTCCTTATCAGGAGTGTATTAGGTTTTATTTGCATATCTGTATCTGGAACACTTCCTTACTACTTTCAATAGGATGTGTTTAATTTTTGGTAACCATTATTTTTGACATTTCTACAAAGTAGGCATTTTTATTTTCAAAGAACTAGGTTTGTTAATTTGTTAAAGAAATGCAATAGAGTTGAAAAAATATGTGAGAGTTGGTAGGAATATTTGAAAGCAAAGCATTATTGCTGTACATCAAATCTTAAAGTTACTGAAATACAACATTTTTGTCTACAAGCAGTTATTGTAACAGACCTCTTTCTGAGCTTGCGTGTGATCTTTTCAATAAGGAGGAATTAATACAGCCTGTTAGGTACAGCAGTTACTGAACTTTGCTGCCCCTGCTATGGTTAAATACATGTGTGCCTTTTGAAAGGGAGATCTTCTCTCATCCTTAAATACACATCTTAAAAGAGTATGGATGGCACCTTTAACCATGTTCCATAATATATCTACCCCTTGCCCATTGCTTGAGGGGGTCATCCATAACCTGTCTCCTGTTAACACATCAGTGTTTCAGGCAGAGATGCTAAGGTAGGCTGGTGGGCTGATCACACCCTATGTTGTGAAAGGCTGTGGAGGCCTCTCTTGTGCTGAAGAGCAAAGCATAGGTTTGGGTTCAGCAGAGCAAGGTGGCTGCCTACTGTAATGAGGGGAAAGCTTGTGCTCCTGGTGGGGTTACTGCTCCTGGCTCCTCTCAGGGAAATCTACTAAGAGATAATTACATTCTGCACCAACTGTTTCTGAGTGTCCTTCAAGATTTTAACCCTTGGGGAGACTGAATTATGTGCTGGATGAAGAGCACAAATCCGTAACTAATTCTCAGCAGAATCCATACGATTGGTAAACAGAGAAGTCAGAATTAATGTGGATTATGAAGGGATTTTCAAGCAAATAGTTTTCCCTGCTGCCTTGCTTCAGATTTCTTCCAGCACTCATGTGCAATCACTCGAAAAAGTTTTCTTACTCCAGCCATATATAATTTAGCTTCGAATTGCTTAAGGTCCCTCAAAGTATCTTATATTGTAATTGTAAATCTTGAACCGTTGTCACAGAAATCTTGAGATTTGTGTCATATGAATATACTGTGGGGTAGTCTGGTGCTTCTTTATGGTAATGTGGTTATTCCAGAGTTTTATATTCTCTACTCATCACATACTTTTCAGTAATAAAAGCCATCCTTCTAAGTGGCTTTTAGGAAGTAGAATTTTTATAAGTTGTATTTTATGTGGAAAGAAATTTCTTCGTTACCTTGTTTTGCCCAACAAATGCCCTTATTTATGTATTCAAATAAACATATTTGCATTTTTTTCCTTCTCTGAAAATTTGAGGTACCATACTTGGCTACATCATGAGATGCATCAGATATACAAGTTGATTTCTAATACAGGAAAGAATAAAAATTCGTAATAAATATGTCCAAAGGGGAAAAAAACAATTTTAGGGAGTCATTATTAGAGAGAGAACAATGAAGGTGACTTTGCTATTTTGGCTACTACAACTGGGATAATCTCTTTCAGTGTTGCACAGGATCCCAGTGTAATTCCAAGCAAATAGGACTTGGATATCCACATATTGAAATCACTAAATAGGTTTCTATATTTAAGTTGGAACAAGATTGCTTCTAATTAAAAACTCTCTTACTAGAGCACTCAGTGCTCAAAAAGTCAGGTTACTGTAACCTGAGTTGAGCTGGCAGCTGAAGGAGAGCAAAATCCTCTTTATTCTATCTCTGAACATAAAAGTTCCTGATGTTAAATTGTTTGTCATTCTTGTGGGCACATGTTAAGCAATTGAGACCTTTCTGCTTGTTTTTAAGGTTAAAGCTGAAACTCTGCTAAACTTTCAGCTAAAGCTGAAACTCTCTGCTAAAGACCAGTTAAGTCTCAGTTATCTGTACTGGTACATTCCAGTTTTTTGCATAATTGTGGCACTAACATCCATCTGGGTATAAGCCAGCTGAGTCCATAAGACTGGTGCTACAAAAACACAATGGTTTTTTTTTGTTTTTGTTGTTGTTGTTTTTTGGGGGGAGAGGGGGACTTGCTTTTGCTGCAGATTGCCTGTGCAGCACATTTCCAGTACAGCAAGTGAATGCCATCCAGCCCAGCTTCCTATGGCAGGCTGAGGTAATAAACCTCACAAAGAGCAAAGTTTGTTTCAGCAGCAGCATCCCCACCGCTCTGGAAGGAGGTGTCTCTGGGGACAGGCAGCTGCCTGCCAGCCCCCAGCAGCTTGGGTCCAGCAGCCTGGGTCCAGCAGCCTGCCTGTCTGATAGTCCCCCTGCCCAACCCCGGGGCACCTGACAGGCCCAACAGGGAGCTCTGCACAAACTGAAGAAGCTCCAACCGTGCTGGTGCCTCTGGCTTGATGCTGGTCATGCCAGACACAGGTCATCTGGGCATCATCACTGTGTGAGTTCTCCTGTTACTGTCCATAATGGAAAACAGGCTGTGCTGCTTCATTCCTTTGACGTCACTCAAAAAAATAAACACAATGGGGATATTTTCTGCTTATAATATATGCTCAATGACAATATTATCTAAATTAATGTAGTGGGAGCAACTGCATTTTCCAACGCTTTGTTTCTTCTTAACTTCCAGGTTTTCCGAAAAAAGGCAGTAGAACTTGGGGAGAAATTGCTACCTGCTTTCAACACTCCCACTGGGATACCTTGGGCATTGCTTAATATTAAAAGGTAAAACAATTGCTTTTTGGTGTCTAGAGTATATAGAAAAGTTATGTTGAAACTGTCTTAACCACAGAACTATTAAAATTGCTGCACAGATTTTGTCTTTCCAGATAGGTAAAAGTTGAGATAACATCCTTCTATGGTTTAAATTAGGGGAGTTTCAGTAGATACATATTGTATGCAGAAGAATGCATATAGAAATACATTTCTACAGCTCAGAACTGGCTGCTTTTTAATCAGCATGTTGCTCATTGCTTTTCCCAAAGTTCTCTTGTTTATAATGTTTTTACATGTAGGGTAAGGGCCAAAAGATGTGTGCTACTCTGAAGGGGTAAAATATCCAGTTGTTCTCACAATATCCTTCAGTAGCATATCCAGAGACAAGAGCAGTATCTGCTACAAGTGACTCACTGTTTTGCACCCTCTCCCAAGGCATGGTTTTGCTTTGGCCAGTTGTGTTTTGCAGACAGCAGTGTGTTTGCTGTAGGAGATGAGTGCTGTGCTGGACTGGCCTCCAGTATGTGACTCCAGACAGACATCAGCAGTTCCTTGGTCAGCCTCAGGCCAGCTAGCAAGTCATACTGTGCTGGTAAAGAAAACCTTTGCTTTGCACACTGCCTGGGGAAGAATATTGAAAGCTACACCTGTGGGATATTTTTGTGTATTTATAAGGACACATCAGCTTTCTTCATACTGCAAATAAACCCCAGCACCACCTGCCACAAGAAAGTGAATCATGGCAAATTTCACATGTGCATGTGTTGGTGTCATGTTGTGGGTTTTGCATGGTTCCCTCCTGACAATCAGCATCTTCCACTGTTCTCTGCTTAATCTGTATTTATGGGAACACCTTTTTCCCCAGCGCAGGACTTACATTGGCATGCTTGCTTGATTGGCTTTGCTTCCTTAACTTTCTTATGGTTGATGGGGCTGATTAACTGCTGCCTGGTGATGATCCATGGACTTTGGTTACTTACATGCATGCTAATTATTCCTTCTCAACAGACTTTAATGAGTTCTGCACACGTTCAATAGCACAACGGCTTGAGCTTTGTTGGTTATTTGTTTTTAAACTGTTACAAAAACTGAGTACTTAAACCCTTGCATACATTTTTAATTGCAACACAACAGTACCTTATATACATAGCATATGTAAACATATATAAGGTATTCAGGCTAAGTATTTTTCTTATAGGTAGCCCTTATTTAAATACCTGCTTATCTACATGATTTATCAATTATTTTTTTTTGCAGATAGTTCAAATCCTGTGGTAGGTCTTTATGATCTTATTCCTGACTTCTCACAATAGCTGCTGGGGTGCACTGCAAATGTCAGCAACACCACAAAGCGATTCATTTATCTTGCAACAAAGTGGAAGAGGATCTCTGTTGAGATAACTTTCCTTGCTATGGCAGGAAGAGTTACATTAAATGCTGGCTTCTTGGTTATTCATTCTGAATCCTTGCACATCTGTCTAGATTTGACCTTCAATAGATGACTCTTCCATAATACTGTGTGTAAACAAATATGCTGTCATCTAAGCTTAGGCAATGCTAAGCCACTGCAGCCTGCATATATTGTCGATCTAATGTGTCTCATTTCTGAATAGTATTTTATTTTATTTTGATTTATGCTTCAAATTGGTGAACACTCACAATACATTGTGGGTGTCAGTGGTTATTTTTAAATTACTATTTTTGGATTAACAGATCAGCTGGATATTTGTTTCACTATGCAAATGTTCTTCACAAAATATTTTGTTTTCTCTGCTCGTCCTGTATCATCATAGTCAGACTTGCTCTCTTCTCGTGTGCCTCTGTGTGTAAATGTTTGTGTGCTTTTGTCTTGAGTGTATCCTTACATGTCAAAGGCATCCACCTGAACTATAGTATTTTTTTCTCTTCTCTATTGTTTTCCTTAATCCTGCTTCTTTCCTCATTACTTTATGACCATGGGACACTTATTGTCTGTTTGTGGACCCTGATTATCAAATATATTAAAAAGTTCACTGTACAACAGCTAAAATAATGAACCAATTCTTGCATGTGTTAGTAAAATTTCTTTTTGTCTCTGCAGTACATTTTAAGTTTGTACTGGGATTTCCTTTTCTTTCTTTCTAAATGTTTTGGTTGCATTTCCATATTTCTTGCTACTGCTCTGTATCTTCAGTTTATCTTCAGCATCGGTTTTTCACTTCTACTTATACTGCCAAATTCGAAGTTCCTTTTGTGGCGTACTTGCTTATTTGAGTAACCTGTATTATCTAGCACTTGTTGCCTGTTCTGGCTGAAAACACTGGTACAGAGAGAGGCTGCAGAAGGAGGCTATATACAAAGCAATGTTGGCTTAACATATAGGTTTAGGTTTTATTATTTTAGGGATAAGGAGCACAAGCTGGCAGTTTCTATCTATTTATTTATTTTCCTCCATCACCTAAATTCTTTAAGTATTTAGACTACCTTACTTCTAAAACAGCAACTATAGCAGCTTCTTAAAATACCTCTAGTTATTTTGCTTCTCAGTAAGCAGATAATCTGGCTTCTTCATGCTGAAAGTTTCATTTCCCTTTCTCTCTAGAAACTTCGAGCAGTTTGTGACTGAGCAATTGGATTGCTTGTCTATTTCTGCAATATGTTTCTCAGATTTATAGAAATAAATAATCTGAAATTATAACCCTCTTAGTGAGTTAAGTAATCTTAACAAATACCCAGTTTGCATCATGTTCACAGGTTCAAGGAACCTTTTAAATGTATTTATCTTTTTTTTTTTTTTTTTATCCCTATAAAAAGGAAGCTGTATGGGACTTGTATTTATAGGATGACATCCAGCTGTGAAATGCAGAAAAGAATCCAGATTGTTTTTAGACTGTTGGATGAGTCAGCAATAAACTTCTGTACAAAATTTTTACTCTTTTGGACGAGGCATTGTCTCTTGATATCACTCTCTCCCTGTTTGAAAGCAGACCTGTAACTTTTTCTAGTCAGCATTAGTTCCAATAAGATGAAATTACTACTTTCTAATAAGAACCCAGAAGCATTCTTATATAGAACAATGTTTTCTGTGAAATGTTTGCTCTCCATACACTGACTAGTTGTTTGAAGGTTATTTATTATCCCTTATGTGCTACTATGTAGCAATACTGTTAGCCATTAAGGTGCCTGTGTTTTTATGAAGAATCAATGTATCATATAACTGTTAAGTGCATCTGAAGCTTTGAAAAATAGTTGTATCTTACCTTAATGCAAAGGTTTTCAACTGGACTAAATATTTTTATTTCTGGAAACATAACAAACTGGTAATGTTTTTTTTGGACAATCCAGCCTGTTTGCAAATGTTGTTGTGGCTAAGGAGGATACTGTACTTGTTTCCCTGGCTTAGTGACAGAAGTAAAAAAAAGCATTTATAGATATGGGGACCATAGAAAGTTCTGCATAGAAAGACAAGCTATGAAGTGTGGGTGGAGTGGGTCAGAGAAGGAAGGCTTAACAGAAGTCAGAAAGCAGGAGCTGGAAATAAAATAAATGAATTTGTATTAAAATTAAACCACAGGGAGTGGTAAGATTTACTCAAATTTAAAATGTTTATTGTGTCTGATATCAGCCTAGGATTTTCTGTCTTTTACACTTCAACATTGCTTCTATGTTAACAGTGAACCTGAATTGAATTACAAGTTATGTTATTTTGTCAAGTGAGATAGCAGAGGCCTTGCTAGATTATTTGAACACAGTAGTTATTCATTTGTAGATAACTGAGGAAGGAAGTTTCAAAACTGTAATATTTATGCTATTGGGATGATGTCAACATAATTTTAAAGCAAAATCCTCTTTTCATATTTTAAAAAAATTATTATTGCCTTTAAAATAATCACATTTTATGCATAATATTTAAGTTTTGCCACAGTCCTTTCCAGGCCTCAGAATTTTCACAGTTTCAACAGAAGCTTCTCAGAGCTACTGAGCCCTTGGAGCCACTGTGTGGATTCAGAACAAGAAGATAGGCCCACAGTGCAGCTTCCAAAACTATCATTCTTCTCTCATGTTGTTTGGAAAAAGAAAAAAAACCAAACTAACCACCAAGGAAAAACACACCTGTTGGGGTTTTTTTGTTTGGGGTTTTTTTGTTTGGGGTTTTTTTGTTTGGGGTTTTTTTGTTTTCGGTTTTTTTCTGGGAGTTGTTTTGGGTGCTTTAAACTTTAATACTAGGTAATAATTCCTGTTCCATCACCATAGCACCAAGCAAGATGGCTCTTCCCTACCAGCCTGGCCTACCCAACACAGCCTGGCTGCTTTGGAGAGGGATTTTGTGCTAAAATGCCACAGTGTCTGCCAGGGAGACACAGGCAGAGGTGTTGTTCCCTTTCGGGGGAACACACCCGGTTATTTCAGAGTACTGGCAGTGTTTTAGGTTGCGGGCACATTTATAGGAGCTTGTCTCTCAGCACCTCAGCCTAGGTGGAAGTGTCTGATAAACCAATCACCAAGGTATGAAATATTGGTCTTTAGACAACAGAACTTGCTTGAAATTATTTAAAAGTTTCAAAGTAATTCCCAACTTTAGAATATGTTTAAGGTCCCATGTACCTGAATCACTTGAGGTGGCCTTCAAAATATCTTAAGTGTGCTGCTCCTCATTAGAAAAACTCTAGTATTCCTAAGTAAAGATTTTAGCATGTAACAAATTGGTTCTCTTTGAGTACTGGGGCTTCTTCCAAATAATCAGAATCAATGCACTTTAGAGTATATTCCTTTATTGTTTGTAAAAGAATCGTAATGCATTTAGAAAATTTAAAATATGGAAAGAAGAAAGAATCCAAACACATAAATTCAGGAAACATTTTTGGTCAGCTTTTCCTACCTACCACTATCAGAAAAGCCTAAAATTTCATTTTTGCATGATTCTGCAATATCTTCCTAAGCATCAAGTTGCTTGTATGTTATGTTCTGTAACATAATAGCAATTCTGTAATTAGTGGTGCATGCTTTTACTTGTTGTAATAACTTCACAA